TCCTTTTCTGAGTTGTTTCTTTTTGTATCGTTTGTTAGTGAGGTATTGATGTACATGTGACTGCAGAATGAAGCACTATAGGCATTGTTTCAGCATCTTTCCCCTCCTTTTCTGAGTTGTTTCTTTTTGTATCGTTTGTTAGTGAGGTATTGATGTACATGTGACTGCAGAATGAAGCACTATAGGCATTGTTTCAGCATCTTTCCCCTCCTTTTCTGAGTTGTTTCTTTTTGTATCGTTTGTTACTGAGGTATTGATGTACATGTGACTGCAGAATGAAGCACTATAGGCATTGTTTCAGCATCCTTCCCACCCATCCTCACCCCCTAAACCCACCCACGCACCCAACCAACCAACCAACCAATCAACCAACCACCCCAACACCCCAAAACACACATCTCTTGTAGATCGAATTTAGTTTGGGAACACGCGGAGTGTGAGGCACTGTGGGATTTCAAAGTTCTTTTGTGTCGTGAAGCTGATGATGGTTTTTTGACATGCGGTGGCATCCGGGTGGCCGATAGCACGGCAGGGACATTAGCACCCACCGGTAAAGATGCTCTAAGAGAAAGTCCAGTTTGACCGCCATGGGATTTGGGAGGGGGAACATAGGTAGTAAAACTTTCAGTACATTTGGTGAAATGCGGGAGTCGGCTGGGGGAGCATCCCGCCAGGCAGTACTGTTCAATCCCCTGGTTGGCATATTCGGGGCATCCGCGCAGTTGGTCGTCGGCAATGTTGTGCCCGTACACCTCCTGTGCACCACGTGATTGGTTTGCTCAAATGCAATACTGAGCATTGCGCGGACCCTCGAATAGCTCCTCATCCCGTGAAAGGTCACTCAAAGTCACCCAACGCCGCAGCCAGGGCGCAGTCCCCCGTACGAAGAAATCGGGAGGAGCGCGCCAACCATCAGGTTCGTGATCGCTCCCACCATCAACCGCTGCTTCCAGGCGGGCCTTAACCATCGCAGCCACTGGAACACCTCCAACGCCATGACTTTGTCGCGGACACACAACGTTGCCACAAGTTGAAGGAGTGACTGAATTCAGATTTGCGACCAACATCAAGGCTAATCGCCTGAAACAACGCCAATCTCTACGACACCCAGGCGGGCGCAGCGCTGCACGCGCGCCCCAGACACCAGCACTGGAGCGCATTGAAGGAGTGACTGAGTTCAGATTTGCGTCCATCATCGAGGCAAATCCCATGAATCTGTGCGTCACGTTGGCGCGACCCCACCCGTCATGGCGCCGAGCAGTGCGGCTCGGGTCATGTCACCGATTCGATGTCGGATATGGCCAGGTCACCTGCCACTCACCGGACAATCATCCGCCCACCCTGGGACACGGTCGCTTAGACCGGGAAGCGGACATTACCCGACATCAGAAACTCGATGGGGCACCAGAGACGCATGACTCATGCCCTCCATCGATGCTGGCCCCAATAACAGGGTCGTCGGGCGCCGCGCTTTGCGTTCGCGCCGAGGTCTATGGCCACAGCACGTCGTTGGCTGGAAGCACCGCCCAGCGGGCCCCAGACCGGCGGGACCTAGCTAGTCGGGCGATGGAGGCCGCCTCTCAAGCCGCATCTGCGACTGCAGTCCATCGCCTGGCGCGGGCTGAAATCGGGTTTGGCCATTCAGTCGCCAGCGGGCGCCCATGCAGAAGATCTTTGCAGATGGTGACGTGCATGCGAGGCGCTCGCTGCCTCACGGGCCTCGTCGAGAGATGAACTGGCACGCCCGGATGCTTGCTTTGAGGATGGCGGATTTTTCTGTCCCGCGCTCACCCGTGGATCGGCGTGTGTGCCCACTCCAATGAACCCGCATTGCCTCGTGGGAGCCTTGTCGCCATCAGTCCACACTGGCGCCGCAGACGCACAACAAGAAGGCCAAGGAGGCATTCTGTAAAGCGGAATTCCGTTTCTTCGTCGGTTTTTGCGTTGGTCTGCGTAGCTCGAAAGCAGTTGTGGCTGATTGACATCATTGCGACCATCGCGGCACCAGCGCAGGCCGCAGCACGGGGGGGTGGGGGTGATCTGACCGCTTTCCGATTGAGGCGCTAGTGAACGCTTCGCTTTGAAACTTTGAAGGACGTTGTGCTCGCCAGTTTGTTGAGCAAACGCTCGAGCAGCGCCTCGTCCCTGCCCTCGGCACGGACGTCTGCTTTGAGGATGACGAGACCACGACAGGTGATCACAGATCACTGTCGGCGGCCTTGGCTAGCGTGCGCATTTTCAGCAGCACGTCGCACGTGCCCCAAACCGGGGGTCCAACCGCGCTCTGTTCCCTGCACGCTTTGTTCGCCGCGGCAGCCGGAGTATGTGACGACCACCAACGGCCAGTTGTTCGGGCCAGAAGGCAGAGAGTTTGGCAGAAGAGCGAAAATGTGTCAGAGCGGTGGGGCGCTGAGCGTCAGCGCTTGGTCGGCTTGGTCGCTTGGCTGGCGGGGTCGGGAAGACAAAGGTATTTTCCCTCGACGTCTTGAATTATTGGCTCGTCAAAAGGCTTTGTGGCGCAATATGCTATTTCGATCCTCATGGCAACCATAGCCACAGCTGCCGCATATTCCGAGCACCTGGATCACCTGCCCCCTTGTGTCGAAGCACCCATTCCGCCGCCGCCGCTGTCGGGACCCTTCGGTCGATTTCGAGCAGCGAACAGCCTCATCCTCGCGGCCGCCAGTCGCCCTTGCCCCCGCATCGACCCTCCGCGACCCTCTGCGACCCGGTGTGGCCGGCATCCGCAGGCATGCTCAACGTGTCAGCGCCCCTCGCCGCATCGCAAGGGCAGCCAACAGCAACTGCCCCGGCCGTGCACGTGGCGGGCCGAGGCAGGTTGTCACATCGCTATCCGCACTGCGCACTATTCCGCCAAAATGCCAGCCCTTCCAGCACCCCTTGCGCCTGCGAGAGGGCCGTCATACTACGGGCCCCGGAGTGTGAGGCCCTGCTTCCGGCCAACACTGCGCCAATGCACTGGAGCCCGCGCCTGTCGGACGAGTGGGAAAGGGCTTTGTCACCCGCGGGCGTCGCTCAATCACGCCCTGCGTTGACCACCGCCCACTTATCAACCCGGGGCTGAGGCCGCCGTCACAACAATCCCGTCATTTAGCTGCCGAGGCCGGGCCAGAGTCCCCAGCCCCTGGGGCACCCCGACCGCCACGGCAGGGGACCGGTGGCGGCACCGCGCCGTGCCCCGATCCGTGACAGCGTGACATATCACGGCGACACTTACAGGCGGAAGCCACGAACAGCCAAACACAACAGTTTTCGCGTAGTCGCGAAGGGAGATTTTTGAACGATGGACATGGTGGTGGAGACGGACCCGACCGGGCGGTTCGCGCGGGTAAGTGCATCCCCTTGACGGCCCATCCCCGCCCCCCGGCTCTGTGCTCGCCGCGGAAACGGGGTCTTCCCTCATCGCACGCTCGATTCTTCGCCGATTGCCGTGGATTAGTCGTTGGCACTGCACTTACAAGCGCCAGATACGCGCAGCGAGGGTTGAACCCGCCGATCGGGCGTGTCGGATGCGGGATGCCGTCCAGAGGAGCGGCCACGGGGCGGGGAATGGGGCTGGGGCCGTTGCTGGGCTGCGACCTTGGGCCGATCCGCACTCTCGCACCCGGGACTTTGAGGGATCGTATGTGCGGTACGTCGCGCGGGATTCTGTCTATTCTCCGTGACCGACCCAGGTTTGTGGCGGGCGCAGTCGAGCGAGGTCCTGGGCAAGGGCGCCTCCAAGACGGTGTACAAGGCCTTCGACAGGATCGAGGGCCGCGAGGTTGCCTGGAACCAGGCTCTGCTGACCAGCGGCAGCATGCAGGCCGCTCACGGCCTCCTGCACACCGAGGTCAAGGTCCTCAACACGCTCAAGCACAGGCACATCATGAAGTTCTACGCGTCCTGGGTGGACGACGAGCTGGGGACCATCAACTTCATCACGGAGTACTTTGCCTCGGGCACGCTCAAGAGGTGGGGAGGAGGCCGTGGACCGGGGCGCCGGGGGGGGGAACGTGCGAGGGGTTCGTGGGGGGGTGAGAAACGGGGTGATGGGCGGCGACGCAGGGCAGGCACCCGTTGACAAATCGGCTTGAGCGCCTGACGGCGTGATTGACGGAGGCTCGTTGGATCTTGATGTGCTGATTGCTCGCGGATGTGAATAGACGTGGGGCCCGCGATGTGGCCCCAGGTCACACCCTGAGTGGCTTGAGCGGGGTGGGGGAGTGGCGGGCGGTTGACGTGGGCGCGCTGGAGTCCCGGGATTCGCAGCGCGGGCGGATACGACGTCGGGGGGTTGGGCCCCGGGGTCGCAGGGCACGGGAGGCGTCCCGCAGAGCGCGCCCGCTTTCGGTGCAAGAAGTGTGGGATGGAGGACGGCGAACTGGCACTTGCTGGTTGGCGCCATGAGTTGGATCTGGAGGTCGGGACGGGGGACTGGGGGACCGCCGCGTGGATTGCGGCATGTGGGGCTCCGCGCGGCGAAGGCGAGCGCTGTGCTCGTTGCTGGGGGCAACGGCGCTGCGGCGTCCAACGAACGTTGATCGTTGGACGTGAGTCCAGCGGCGCTCCCATCACGATTTGCGCAAATGGGCGCCAGCGGGAGGAAGGGGCCCGCGAGGTGCGGGCGGATGAGACCCTTGTCCGCTTGACAGTGAATTGGGCGCCATTGCTGGATTGGATTTCTGACGGATCCGACGATATGTTGAGCTTCCCGCACAGCATGGAGCGTAAGGCAGGTTTCCTTGGACGCGCGGCTGCTGTGTTGGGGATTGGGTTTTGCGCTCTTTGCCCACGGACGACCAAGAACCCTTTCGGCAGGATGTTCGGTTCGGTAATGCAGTGCAGCAAGCGCGCTGCGGCTAAAACCTGGAAAACTGCGGGCAATCGCTGGCATTGTGTTCTGGCACACGATCCTACCGGGGCAGGACCCACGACTTCCTTGTGCCTGCCATTGCGCTGTTCGGTTTTGCTGCAGGCCGATGGGCAACTGGTTGCGAGTGTGCAATGAATTCTGTCTAAGGATATTTGATCTCGCGCTCGCCGCCGCCCAACAGTCCCCGCTGTGTCCTTGTGGGCATTGATGTTTCACATTCCTCTACACTCCACCTCGGAGACTTGACGCCACCGGTGTTGTGCTGATGCCAGGCACCGCCTCGCCCACAGATCATTCGACCTCAATATGACGCTGATGAAGCGGTGGACGTGGCAGATTCTGCAGGGCCTGGTGTACCTGCACGGGCGCAATCCGCCCGTTATCCACCGGGACCTCAAGTGCGACAACATATTCATCCACGGCGTATCGGGTGTGGTGAAGATCGGCGACCTGGGCCTGGCACGCCTCATGGAGGAGAACCTGTCCTTGTGCCACACGTGCATCGGTGAGTGCAGACTTACTGAGACATTAGTGAAATAACAAAAGCAGCATGAACAAAACAGAATGGAGTACAATAGTGAATGGAAGAAAGCCGTTCCTTAGATTGAACACTGTTGATGGCAAAGAGGGTGAGAAGTACAGCACTGGGAACTTTTTGGCGTCTGCCTGTTTGTCCTGCATAAATGGTGTTTGTTATTCAAGCAAGCTGCGTCGTACTGGTGAGTTTTGCTGTAGAAAGGGGTAGGGAACAGCCAGTGGGCCTGCAAGGGGATGTCAGGTGGAAGTTCTTGAAGATTTTGCCCGCACAGTCGCACGCAGTTGCATAGATGGACTTCTTGCAGATAGGAACCACATCGTCCGCCTCTCCACACATATACACACACACAAACAAGAAAAAGAGCCCAGTGGATCCATAGTTTGGATGGGACTTCTGAGTAGACTGTTATACTCGACTTGTGTGAGTCCGCCTGTTATGTGGGCAATATCAGTAAGCTTCATCTGGTGAAGAAATGTCAAGAGAAAACGGGAACAGGGCATCCTCATCCTCGCCAAGTTTGCAAGAGAGCCTCCATGCAAAAGTAGAGGGGCAAAGTGGTGCCATTGTCAGGAGGGGATGATTGTTGATACTTATTGTAATCAGGGGAGACTCGATGACTTTTCAGTGGGCTGATGGGCAGCGGGAGGGTTGCAAGGGTGGTTGATGAGGGGAATACCTGTGCTGTTCACACCACAGACACAATTCCATGTTGATTGAGAAGAGCACAGTGTTAAGTGGACACACAGCCCTTGTGTCAGCCAGGTCAGCCCTTGTATGTCTTCTGTAGCAGTGATTTTCATGGAAAGGCGAAGTTCTTGATGCATTGGGCATTTTCCCAAGCACGCGGCACTTGCTACCCATCATAGGGGCTACTTGGAAGTTTGCATTTTGTTTGGAAGTGCACGGTCTGCTCTGGGGAAAGCACTTCAATGGATTGGGCTGCTGTGCAGCACATCTGCCTTGGAAGCCTCCTTTGGCTGATCTGCACCGAATTTTCCTGGTGGTGGCAGGCACGCCTGAGTTTATGGCGCCTGAGCTGTACAACGAGGCATACAATGAGAAAGTGGACATTTACTCTTTTGGAATGTTGATCTTGGAGCTAGTGACAATGACCTACCCGTACTCGGAGTGCAAGACAGCATGCCAGATATACCGGCACGTTACAGAGGTGAGCAACCCACCTGCGCACACTTAATGGCAGCACCACATTGTCGCAACTGCAGCCTGTTGTTGCTGCAAAGCATGCCAATTCACCCAGTTTCCATGAATCACACGAAATGCCCGAAATTGTGAACAGGTACTGTGGCCTGTGATCCGTGGCACTGTACAATTGTCACAAGTCCAATGCTTGTGCAGTGGAATGGATCTCAATGGCCGTTTTATACAAGTTGGGGGCTAAATGTGGCCTAGGTGGCAATCAAGCCCTGGCCTGTGCTGATGTGCTGTTATGGCATCGCAGGGGATACCTCCAGCCGCCTTGGCAACGATCGAAGATGAGGAGACACGCGAGTTTATCAAGCTGTGCACGCGCTATGACCACGAGCAGAGGCCCTCAGCGAGGCAGCTGGTCAAGCACAAGTATTTCGACGATGTGCGGGCCCCTTCCCCCAGCAGCAAGCTCTTCTGCCCCAGCTCACGGCCTGAGCTGGCAATGGACTCCAGCAGTCTAGTCTCAGAAAACACACAAGAGAGTCTCCCGACCCTCGCCGAGTGCCAGAGTGCCCCTGAGAGGTTCGCAGCCTGCATGACGAGTGACGCGTCGATGGACGATGGGGACAAGGATGGGTTGCCATTCGTGGAGACAATCAGCGATGCCGACGAATGCGCCAGGGGGGGCTCGAAGAAGTGCGAGAGTGTGGTATCTGGTGGAGACACAGATGCTCAGAGACCAGAGAGTGTTTTCTCTGCGCTGGATACTGATCAGTCTTTGACCAAGCGACAGTTCAGCCTGCAGCACAAGGGCTCCACAGCCCTTCCCTTTGTGGACGTTGTCAACTTTGAGCTGGTCTTTGGTGGGCCGGGCGCCACCAAGAAGCTGATGTTCAGCTTTGACGTGCTGTCAGACACTGTGGAGGACGTGGGACTGGAGTTGGAGGAGGAGTACAGCCTAACGCCGGAGGAGACTGACCAGTTCACCACCATGCTGAAGCAGGAGCTGGAAAGGGCGATGCACAACAGCTCATTGGCTGACCACCAGCCACATGTCCTGGGCACTTTTGGCAGCATCCAGGTTTCCATGTCGCTGGACGACTGGACGAACAACCACTCGGGCAACCAGGCACCATTGAGTCATCGATCTGGTGACAAGTCAGGTGTCGTCAGGTCAGTGTCAGGCCAGATCAAGTCCTCAGGCAGGTCTGGGAAGACAGGCCCAAAAATGTCATTCAAGATCAACGTGGAACAGAGCCAGAGTGTGAGGAGCCTCAGCTCCTGCAGTCTAAAATTGAGCACCCGGAGCCTGAATGCACAGAGCGCAAAGGCTGCCAGCTCTGAGGAATTGAAGAAGAAGAAGAAGAGCACCGATGGCGAGGGGTCCAAGAAGAGGAAGTCCTACGAGCGGAACGATTCTATTAATGGCTTTGCCTTTGAGAAGCCAGGAGGGATGTGGCGCAAGCTGGTCCAGCACCTGCACAATGGGGCAAACTCCATACGCCGGCGCTCCACAAGCCACAGACGATGCAAGATGGGCAGGATAGGTGGAGACAGCCGTGCGAAGAGCCAAGAAGACCCTGTACAGGCGAACAACTGCACAGACGTAATGGCCAGGGCAGCAGATGAAGAGGGGAGTGTGTTGAGTGGAGAGGCAGGGACATTAAGCGAGGGCGGCACTCCACGACAGGCACCACTGGTGCAGAAAAGGAGATCCTCTCTGAATCTGGCTGCCAGGTCGCTTACACCGGTTGTCAACCAGGTGCGGTTGGCGGCAGGCGCAGTGAAGCACATCAAGGAGGCTGCTGTCATCCTGTGTCGTAATTCTTTGGAAGGCAAGAAGGTCCTCTTTGAGATCCGCAGGAAGGGTGGGAGCAAGAAGAAGGGCATGGCAGAGGCAGTGGTGAAGGAGCAGGCAGAAACAAGCAGGGTTGAAGTAGTGGAGGAAGACAAGGTCTTTCAAGACAGCGCAAAAATTCTCGACGTTCCCGATCAGCACGTCAACAGGGCAGGAAGCTGTGGCCCTGCGCAACCTACTGTTGAAAAGTAGGTCCTAACTCCCAGCCTTTGCCATGGGTACCCTGGTTTTATGGTCCTTTCTGTATTTGCTGTTACTGTGTTACCATGTTACCACATTCCAACTAACCTCAGAGGTAGCTGGAAATTAAGTGCAGTCTTTTTGGATGAGTGCTGTACAAAACTGTGAGGTTCTCCTGGAGGTGTTGGTGGTCTCAGATGTCTCGGAGAACTTCCTGGAGGGGGGGCCAGCAGATTTTGAGGAGCATCCACAAACCCATGTGGTGCCGTTGTTCATCGAAGTGTAGTGGTATTTTGCACCACTTCACTGAGCGAATGCTCCTGTTTGCTGATCAATGTCTTGGTTACAAAAGAGTACCTAACTACAACCTGCTAGTACATGGCTGAGCCAGCGCTGACAATTTCCATGCCTTGTCCAGCTGCCTCTGAGTGACCCTGGCTAATGGTCGGGCTCGAAAATTAACACGAGCTGAGCTCCCTAGCCTTAATGTGATTGGCAGTTAATCTTGTCTCGTGACCCTTATGGCCTCCCCGCTGCTTCTGAACAAGTGTTGGTATGAGTACAGGCACATTTTGGTGAGACCTTTGCTGCACATACTGTACTTTGTTGCAGTAAGCTACGTAGTCCAGCGGTTGGTTCATGGAAGTGGGATTCATGACGTGTGTGCCCTGGAACAGGCACGGGAGCCGTATCTTCAGGCCGCTTCGAAAGGCTGCAAAGAAGGCCATGTGGCCATGGCGCAGGAAGCGGGGTGAAAGGCTGTGAACGAGAATGGCCCGAACATGAAACTGGGGACCAAGGGGGGCTGGTGGTGGTGGATGATTGATGTGAAGGGACCATCCAGACTGGCGCTGAATGTGTTGTGGGATTCATCCGTGGCGTTGGGGTTGTGGCTGGCGTCTTTGGATCTCGAATTTGAGGGATGGCCGCCGCCTGGGTTATTGAACGTTAGCAAACTCACGAAACTCAAACATAGGGAGACTCGCCAATGCGTTACTAGTTGTATAATGCGTGCAGTCGTGATGTGCATACAAGAGCACAAGCTGGCTGCTTCAATTTCGAATTTTTTAGGCCAACCGATGAGTGCAAGAAGCGGTTGTGCAGGGGAGTGGGGTTGGGAGGAGAGCTGCCAGCAGAACAGGGCGTAGCATTGCAGGGGCCTGTGGTGGTTTGGCCCCGCTTTGAACAAGCGATTCCAATACGTGGGGGGTGATTATGATTGGTGCGAGGCTTCATGCATGCAGCAGCGCGTGGTGGAGCCGATGAAGACGTTGGTTTCGGTGGACTCGAACACAAAGAACACTTTGAGGTCGTCTGTTGACGGTGTGATTTATTCCCGGTGTTGTGGCGACGGCAGGTGCTGGGCGCGTCGTTCGGCTGTGGCCAACCTGGCCTGCGGACAGCAGGTGTGCGCTGCAAAATGTCTCAGCCTGTGGTAGGCCTGGCCCGGGCCCGAGGGGCCCATTCGTGGCTCCTTGATTTAATTGACGGGTCGTTGGGCGAGCTGCACAAATGCAGGGTTGTCTCGGCGTGGCCAGCGCTTGATTGCATGAATAAGAACGATTGTGATGTGTCGGATGCTTTTGTCATAAGTTCCTGAACCTGGTCAGCTGGCATTGCTCAATGGCGTTCGAATCAGCGGCCAAGGGGGAGAGGCCAAGTTTCGCTCAGTGCAGTGCCGGCAGCCTGCATCACTGGATCGCCGAGAGCATGTTGTTCGCCTTGCCTCGAGTCGCGTGCCCGTCAGGGCTGCCCATGGTGGACTGGCAGTCCCCGGCCCATTTTGAAACTGGTGCAGTTCTGCGCTACTCCTGTCGAAGCTGCACAGCCCTCACCGCTTACCATTGAAGATGAGGCAGAAACGCGCATTTGTGTGTAATGTGCAAACGGTCCGCGTTTGCTGTAGATATTCATGCATAAGTGTGCGTCTGCACACGATGAATGCCCACCCACATTTTCAACCCACCCACGACAATACCTTAGCGCACTGCATAAAGCGTAGTGGAGTTCCAGAAGACAAGGTGCCCATCACCATATGCTGAATCAGAGGGCCAAATTCTTAAACATGCCCTTCTCAGACGAAGACTGTGACCCATCACTCCCTCTAATGGGGGTTCCGAGCCGGCAAGTCACAGCGCGACCGTTACGCAACTTGTCAATGGCACAAGTCGGGCGGGAGAAGAATCTCGTGTAGCGTCGGATCCCCTATGCAATCTGGATTCTGTTCGGATCTGTTTACTACACAACAACAACTAGCGCAGCACTCGTTGTGCAACCGGCCAAATAACATTGCGGCAGTTACGTGACCGATTTGCCATTGTTGCGAGTCGGGCTTGAGAACTACCCCCGACATGAAGGCAACACTGATCCGCCATGCAATCTGGTCGGTGATCTGACCCTTTCGGCGACCGCAGCAACGCGCACCCAACCCCTGTACATTGCACAGTGTACAACGGCCAAAACGGCCGATACGCGGCACCAACTTAAGGGAACTCATTTGGGCCCCCAGATGTCCGGGGCACGGCCGCCCGCCGGTGTTCGGCCCCCGCCCTCTCCTCCACAGGCACGCCACCGGCGCAACAGCGACCGCAAACAGCATCACGGCGTCCCGCGGCCAACTCCGCCCAAGTCGCGCCAAACCGACACGGCGCGTAGAACGCGGCTCACGGCCAGGTACACACCCGCAGAGGCGCTGCGGCTCGCCGTACTTAAAGCCCTCAGCACGGCGTCCACTTGTGTGAGTAAACTCACCGTGATTTCTTCGTCACACGCGCCGTCAGACCCGCCACACCCGGCCTCGCCGCCGCAAACCTTATCCGTCCCCACCGCCCCCGGCACGCCGAGGGGCTGACAAAACCGCTTTGACTGATGGCTGGGGGCGGGCCCGCTGGATAAAAGGCGACGGGCCGGGCCGGCGGTGAGAGGCTTCCGTTTGCCTGCTCCCGGGCGGTTGCCGAGGGGCACACGCTGTTGGGCGCCGCGACGCCGTGCCCAACCCAGCGGGCGCCACCGCCCCCGTCCACGCCCGCCGCCGCTCAGGTGGGAGCGACGCCCCGATCCCCGCATCTGCGCCGTGCTCCCGGATCTGCGCCCAATCTCGAATCTGGGCACATGGCCCCGGCCGCCCGGGCCGGTGCCCGCCCCCGATAGCTGATTGCCTCGGGGGCCCTCCGGCTGCCATGTGCCCGCATGCACGCGCGCCGCAGCGGACGCTGACGATCCGGCCGCCTGAGATCTGCTGTGTGACCCGCAGGCATGGCTGGCGCTGCGGCGGAAGGCGGGGCGCCCGAGAATGCCGGGCAGGTAAGTCCGGGGTGTTGGATGATCTCGGCATCGCAAACGCGCCGCGGCCTCTCCTTGGCTGTTGCCAAATCCCGGTCGCACGGGCCCGAGCGCGCTCTTTTCGTTCGGCGCTGGAACCGTCCGGAAAGATCCCCAACCGCCGGCCCCCTCGGAACGCCGTCCCGCGGAACGAGCCACCGGGCCGATCCAGCGTGTCGTGCGGGGGTGGCCGGCGCACAAGGCGCTCCCCGGCGTTGGCGCATGGTCGCGGATGGATGCCGCCACGCGTCGGCGAGCGCTCGTAAGTTGGGTCGTTACGTCAGATCCCGAACAGGCCCCCCTCCTCGCGGTCGATTGCGGCCTTCAGGTGGGCGATCGACGAACTAACGCGGCGCAGATGCCCTCTGATCGACCCCGTTCCCCCCGCGCGTCCTTCTCGCTTGCCCCGTTCATTTCCTTCCGCATGGGCTCGCGCAACGGCCGCCGGGCCCAGCACAACCGCCCGTGAAAGGCGGCGCCCGGCAAGTAATCCCGACTAACGACTTGTCACGCGATCCGTACGCACGTCGCCACACCCCGCTCTGGTCCTTGAGCCTCCATGCGGAGGCGCCCCGCCGCGCTCCAGGGGCCCATGGCCAATGCCTGCGGCCTCGCGACGCGTTTCTGTCGGGCGCTCGACCGCACGCAAGGTCCGCGACCGGACGCAACCGCGATGGCCGAGTCCCGACTGCGATTCACCCCGCCCTGCGATCCTTCCAACGCATTCCGGGTCGGTCCATCCCCGCATTGGCATTTGGCTTGCGCCGGTGCCAGTAGCAGCGGCCGCGGCAATTCGCGATCGTCCCCGCCTCTCAATCGCTCCATCCAGGCTGCATTTGTTCGCCGCCGACACGGACGCAGCCACTCGGGGCAACAATCCCCGCGCCGACTGCGCAGGCCCGCTGCCGTGACAGTAGTTAACCGTGCGTACTGCCGTCGCGCGCCAAAAATGGATCCCGGCGCCCCGATCTGGACCGAAGCTGCCGCTCCCCCGGCCTCACCGCCTGCCTGCGCTCCAGGGATGGGCCCAGCTGTCCGACGACCTTTTGATTTCAATCAAGACCGCCTTCGTGCGCGAGTGCGGCTCATCCGACGATCTGCTCAAGCTGGCGCGCCTGATCAACCGCCACTGGTGCAAGTGGGCGTCCCTGTCCTTCGACTTCCTGGCGCCCAGGATGGTGCCCCTGCCCGTCGTCGAGCGGTCGATCAAGGAGCGCTTCCTGAACGTGACGGGCCTGCGGCTGCGTGTGGCCGGCCAGGAGCTGGCCATGCTGGCGTCCGTGCCCCAGATCACGCACGTCGACTTTTCCTGCTGCCCCCGGATCACGGACGCCTGCCTGGGCCGCCTGACGCCCCTGACGGGCCTGGAGCGCCTGGAGCTGCGCAACAACGGCCGGATCACGGACGAGGGGCTGGGCGTGGTGGCGGAGCTCGCTACCCTGAGGCGCCTGAGCCTGAACGGCTGCCAGCGGGTGACAGACGCCGGCCTGGCGCGCATCGGCCCCCTGCTGGCACTGGAAGCGCTGGAAGTCCGAGGCAACGCGGCCATCACGGACGACGGCGTGGCGTCCCTGTCCGCCCTGGCCTCGCTCACTGACCTGGACCTGCAGGAGTGCACCACTGTCACCGGGCGCGGCCTGGAGGCGCTCGCAGGCCTCACCAGGCTGTCCCTCATGCGCTGCGGGAGCGTCAACGACTCGGGCGCGGAGGGCGTGGCTTGCCTGGGCTCGCTGAAGCACCTGGATCTGGGGGAGTGTTTGGAGGTGACGGACGCCGGGCTGGCGGCCGTGGGCCGGCTGACCTGCCTGGAGCACCTGAGCCTGCGCAAGTGCCACAAGCTCACCGGCCGGGGCCTCAGGGCCCTGGACGCGCTGGGAGAGCTGCGCCACCTGGACCTGGGCCAGTGCGACGGAGTGGAGGCGAGGGGGGACGACTTCCTCGCGGCGCTGTCCTCGCTGGAGCACCTGGACCTAAGCCGGTGCGACAAGGTGGCCAACGAGGGGCTTGCCGGCGTGGGCACCCTGAGGGACCTCAAGTTCCTGAGCGTCAGCCACTGCTACAGGGTGGGCGACGAGGGCATGGGCCACCTGGCCCACCTCAAAGGCCTGCGCAGGCTGGAGGTCGTGTGCTGCTACAAGGTGACCGACGCGGGGATGGCATCCCTGGGGAAGCTCGCCGAGCTGGAGCACCTGAACCTGAGCTTCTGCAGGAAGGTGACGGACGAGGGCACGGCGCACCTGCGGGGCATGAGGGCCCTGCGGCACCTGGAGCTGACGGGGTGTGAGAGGCTGAGCGTGGAGGAGGTCAACAACCTGAGGGGGTTGCCATCGATGGCGACCGTGAAGATGGATGAGGGCGTCGCGGCGGACCGGTGCGCGACGGCCCAGGTGGACGACCTGGCGCCGCTGCGCGGCCTGCCGGGGTTCAACAATAAACTGGTGCCGGCGTCCATCGCGCCGGGCCTCAAGGCGTGCTCCACTCTGGCGTCCATCGACCGCCACGAGTCCGGCATGCGGCCGGCATATTTGTCCGGGTGACGGAGTGACTAGGGTGGGGGGAGGGTCAAAAAACGCAAATACAAAAACCCTGGGGGGTGGCTTGAAAAGCTCGAGAGGATGTAGAGTGGTGGGTAATGTACGCGCGGGGCGCGGAGGCAACCGACGGGTTGTGGCGGCTGGCACGCAAGCGCCCAGCCGGTCGTTCTCTCGCCCTGGTCTCCGCTCAGTTTTGACTTCGTTTTATTGGCTGGGATTGAGAGGGGCGCCGGGGTGCTGTTGCTTTTGGGCCCAGGGGTAGGGGTCGCTGTACATTGGTGTGTTCGAGCCGCGGGCGGCGCGGCATTTGTTTTGGGATTGGAGAGCGCGCGGCAAATAAACGGCGGTGACGTCGCTTGCGCCCCGGGGAGGCCGGGCAGGGCCCGAGTATACTCGCGTGGGCCTAAGGAACCGGAGGATCCCGACGCCTCGGGGCGACGCTGCGCATCCCGGGTCGTGGCAGCTGGAAGGCACAGCGCCCCGTCCGGGTTTTGTTCCATAGTGTTCATTATTTTAATTTTTTCCCATTGCTTTCGTCATGGTGTGCTCTTTCACGGTTGGCTGTTCACCGCTGGCGGCAGGGGAGCCCCTCTGTTGCTTTCCCTTCATTGCGTTTCTCGCGCGACCAGGTGCATCGCCTGGCACCGGAAAAGAAGTTGGCCATTTCACACAATTTCTAACTGCGCTCAAATTTTGTAGAAAATGGGACCATACTGAAGCCTAAACCGTGGCAAAGTGGAACCAAATATTTGGTCCTACTTGACATGGTCAATAGCGTTGCCTTGCTCATGTTGCAGCTGCCATTTTCGCCTGTGTGGGGCAGTACGTCGCCTCGTCGCGCAGACTACTCGCCGTATCCTGCTCAATGAACATGACCAAAGAACGCCATCACATGGTGCTATCCGATTGTTTTGAATTGTCAAGCGCCGAGCAAGATGCTGTCCCCTTGCAGTGAGATCGCCTTCGGACAAGCCGATCTTGTGCTGGAAAACATCTCGGGGAAGCAAGCACTCGAAATCCGCTCGACTGCTTGAATTTGACAGGACAGGCAGTCGAAATCCGTCCAGAGATACGACAGCAGTGCCTGCAACACATCACTGCAAGCTTGTGCCGTGTGGCTTGACGTCAGGTAAGGAATGCAAGCTTATCAAAGTGCTGCAAGCATTCATTGTCTACCGCGCTCTGTGCATGCCAAATTTGTTTGAACAATGTGTCAAACAATGTGGTGTCCGTGTCCTATTCCTAACAAAGAACTATCCTGCGAGCAACGGAGCAACACAGAGCAGATCGAAATACATGCTACCCCCTTGTTTCACTAGAAAGTGCCACAAGTCTGCGGCGCCATAATAGTGCCGCCTTGCAAGAAATGGAAACGTCCTGGACGTTTGCTGCCAACACACCAGCCCCACGCTCACCACAGCATCAGCTACAACTCGTCAAGTTCTGCCTCCCAACGGTAGCACTGCGAAATAAAGCTGCGACCATGGCTGCAAGTACGCAGGCCAAATGCGGCCATGGCTTGCAGATCTCAAGACCCCAGAACAACGGCCGTTGACTCATGGGTATGATGCAACCCCTTGTAAAAGCCACACAAGGGGCAAAAGGGGATGCCCGACATCGCTGGGCAGGTGCAGAGCACTGGCTTTCAACTGTAAAAAGCCAAAACAGCACTGGAGGCGGATTTCATCATCACCACCAAGCAAATATCACTGCCGCCGACAGCCAACGACCAACAGGACGACCAACAGCGTTCCCTAACCCGGCCAACGACCCATGAATTTTCTCCTCAACAGCCCACGCTCCATAGGCCGCCCTGCTCCACCCCACCAGGCCCCGCCTGCCGCACGAGCCACGTCGCGGGGTCGCCCATCCCCAGCCCCCAGCAGCTGGCCTCCAGGTCGATCATGTCGCTCACGAGCTCGTTGCCCGCCACCACCTCCCTGGCCGCCGCCGCTCGATCGTCCCCCCGCCCGACCGCAAGGCACCTCTCCTCCACGCTGCACATCGCCGCCACCAGCGCCGCGGCGGGCGCCATCTTGGCGGGCCAGAAACTGGAGCGTGGGGCGTCCCGGTGGCACCATAGCCCGCCAAACGGCGCGCTGGCCTCCCTGTGCCTCAGCCCGCCGCCATCCGTCCTCCCCGAGACCGGCCCCCCAGCTTCGATCCCTACCGAAACGTCCACATTCTCTTTCCCGCTGCTTGCAATCTTACCGCCCATTGCCCCCGCCGGTCGTTCATCACCTCCGCCTCCAACCACCCACCACATCTTCCCAGACCCGCATTCTTTCCTCCAATCCACCCCCCAGGCCGTCAGGTCCAATCCCATTCCACCCAAGCCCTCAAGACTCCCTCTCCCGCCAGTCGCCCAGCCCCCCACCCTTCCCTCCTGAAGCACCCCCAACGGCGTCCTTCCCATTCCAGATCCCACCCGTCCGCCTTCATCCTCCGCTTTCCCACCGACCTCCTCCAGACTCCCGCCCCCGTGCCACTCCATCCACAGCGCCTCCGCCTCCGCGATCGCCACCGCCACCTCCTCCTCCACCGTTGACGGGTGCCGGCCAAATGCCGCCCTTTCACAGGCCCGGCAAATTCTAGGGTGTCCACATTCGCTAAGCCCCCGCCCTTTGCGGTCCTCCCAGGCCTCACCGTCTGCTGGCACCCCTCCGAGTGCACCCTCTGGCCCCTCCTTCGTCTCATGCGTGGCGCACATCGCCATGAACCCCTTTCCCATTTCTCTGAAGCTCGCATTCGGAAGCCTTGCCTTAGCAGTTTCCTCTCCAAACAGTCGCAGAGCAAACACCTCGCGCGCCAGGCACCGCACCCAGAGCAGCCGGGAGCTCCGAACAGCGCCGTCGATGGCGCACAGCGCCGCCGCGGCCAGGCAGACGCCGATCCAGAGGGCGACCCGCAGCCGCGCGGCCCCGCCGCATGCCTCCATGGAGCCCCACGTCGGATGCCGGGGGTCCGTCCCCATCCCCTCGCAGCAAATCCAGCGATCTCCCGGGCTCAGGGCGGAGAGGACCGATGAGGCGGCCGAGCCCGCGGCGAAGGCCAGGATCCTGGGACCCTGCC